AAGCCCCTTACAACCCCACTTCTTTTGTTCTCTCCAGTTTTCTTACACTTTACTCCTTTCTATGGACTCTCTGACCCAATGATACTGGCCTTCATGCTATTCAATGCCCATCACATGCCACCTTCCATCTTGGCACTTCTGCACTAGCTGTCTCCTGATGCCTGGAACAAGCTATTTACTTACAACCTATTTATTTTTATACTCCCTGGCTTCCTTCATGACAGCTGCCATGATATCTTCTGTAAAAGTAAACAGTTAGGTGCCCCCTGGTTAAAATTCTGGGCCTGGAGTAAGGAAGACCTAAATTCAAATTATGACTCAGACACTAGCTATGGAACTCTAAGCAAGTCACTTAGCCTTTTATTGCCTCAGTTTCCTTATCTGTAAAATGGGGATAATAGTAGTACCTACCTTGCAGGTTTGTGAGGATAAAATGAGATAGGGGTTGTAAAGAGCTTTATGGTCCCTAACTACGACATACATCCTATGCCCCAAACTTCTTATGACTTCCCCTCTAAGGCTATTCCCCATCTACTCTGTAGCTGGTATATACCTAATTATTTATTTCTTACTCCCACTCCACTGGAATGTAAGCTCTTTGAGGACACACATTGTTTTTGTTTTTCTTTATATTTTTCAAACTTAGCAGTATAGTATAGTATAAAGACAAATCCCACCTATGTGTCAAGACAAAACAGGGTTTTAATAGTGCTATTGAAATATAGAATATGTAGTTGAGGGGTAGCTTCCCTTTCTTGGAAGCCTTCAAACAGAATCTCAATGACAACTTGTCAAGTACGTTGTATGGTATGCTCTTATTTTGTGTGTGGGTTGGAAGAGATGACTGCTGAGCTGGCTTCCAACTTAGCAAGTCTGTGATTCTGCTAGTCTAGTCTGGCACTTATGGAGTGGGTAGTATATCAATAGTTGTTGATTAACTGATTTCTTCTCCTTGACTTTCATGGTTTTCCTTCTACATTTCTAGATAGTCTTCTTAGGTACCTTTTGCCATCTCATTCGCCGTATTCCACTCCATAAACTAATATGTTACTCAAGGTCTTATAATTCAATCAGTCAAATCATGAGCATTTATTAAGCATGCATGACACTGGGCCTTTTGTTCGTTTCAATTTACACTGTCTTCATTGGTGATCTCAACAATTCTGATGGGTCTGTTTTTTGTTTCTGTGCAGATGGCTCTGGGATTTATAAACACATTTATTCATATTCCCTACTGAACATCTTATGACACTAACTACCTGATGGACAGACCCCTCGAACTCAATGTTTCAAAACAGTACTCATTTTCCCACTAAATCAGACCTTCTTCAACTTCCTTTTTTGTGTCATGGGAATCATCTTTCTCCAAGTTTCACAGGCACCAGTAATCTAGGGATGATTGCTATCAGGGGTGGAGTTCTTCAAGGAGACAATTTCAATATGAGCCTGTCATTAGCCTAATTACTTCCCACTGATGATTACCAGGAGACGACAACTAAATTCAGTCTGTTGCCTCAACTCTATCTAAGGTGACTCTAAGATTATCTGTCTCTATAGGCAACATGTTTCATAGATTAAATTTGTTCCATTTATTCAATAATACCCATTTTTCTGCATTCCTTGCTTTTGTTTTTAGGCCTAAGGATCCATACATTCTGATAGCATCAGCTCACTAAGAACTTTAGCTAATTATTTAGTGGAGTTAAATATCAATGCTTCCATTTCATTATTTTTTATGGTGACATAAATTTGTAGGTATCATAAATAATAATAATAACAACCAGCATTTATGTGTAGCTTTAAAGTTTGCAGAATTCTTTTTGTATGCTAACTCAATGGGCCCTCAAACTGACCCTTTGAAGTAGGTGGTATTACTGTCCTCATTTTATAGAACAGGGCATATAATTAACCTCAGATACTATTAAGCTTCCATCTTCAGTAAGGAAGCTTAAAACCAACATTGTCAGTATAGTACATACAAATTGAAAAAAATTGAAAAAAATATATGAAATGTACTCCAGTTAGCATATCTTGTAATAAAGCCAGCCAATATTTGATGGAAGGAGCCTGTTGTGTCTTTCTTCAAAGAGCTGAACCTTCCAAATCACATTTTCCAAATCCTGGGCCAGTGGGCAGGGGCGTCTGCCTTCCTTCTTCTTCTGGGATTCCAATAGGTCTACTGATTCTTCCAGGTGGCATTTCTTTTTGGATTATAGTAGGTTAAGATTGACCCCTTCTCTCCCAAAGGCTACCAACCCTAGGCCACTTCCAGTGTGGTTTCTTCTAGTATTTTCTTGAGGAGCATATCTGACAGCAAGGGATTAATAGATTTATGTTTTGGAATTGTAGTCTACTCCAAAACTCCATATTCTTTTCACATGAACATTTGCTTAGGTAGGCCAGCACATTTTGGACCTAAGAAATGATTTTTGGAACCCATGTGTAAGACTTCACATTTATCTCTATTAAATGATCCTGGTAAATTTGGTCTATTCTTTTAGCTTTTTGAGAAGACTTTGCATATTGACTTTACTCGTAAGAGTGTTAATCATCCCTTCAAGTTTTTGCATTGTAAATTTTATAGTCACAGCATCCTTGCTTTCATTATAGTCACTGAAGAAACTATTAAACAGAAAAGGACCAAGTAGAAATTCCTGGGGCATTCTACTAGAGACCTCCTTTCAACAAATCATCAAACAATGAATGACTAATTTAGATCTGTTTTTTCTTTTTCTTTTCTAACCAGTAAATTCACCTAGGAAAGTTGTCTATCTCATGTGTTTTGATATTTTTAACCAGAGTAACTTGAGAGACTGGGTTAAATGATTTGCTGAAATCTAAGTTAAACTATATCTACAACATTCCCTCAATGAATCTAGTTACCTCATCAAAAATGTAAACCAGGTTTTTCTGGCATGACCTGTTCTTGATCAAATCATTCTGTCCCCCTAATAAGCACCACTTCTTTTTTTTGTGTTCACTTTAATAATATTTCCTACATTTTCACCAAGAATTGCAGTCAAGCTTCTCAGCCTATGATTTGTAGACTCTGCTGTCTTCCATTTTTAGAAAAATTGGGACATTTGTTCTTTTCCTGTCTGTCTCTTCTGTGCTCCACAATCTTTCGAAGATCAATGACAGTGCATTAGCAATTACAGCTGTTAATTCTTCCAGTGCCCTGGGGTACACCTCATTCATATCTGTGGACCTAAATTCATTGAGGGCAACTAGGTATTTCTTTCTTTCAGATTTCAGCTTTATATTAGCTATTTATTTTTAACACTGCAAGCTCAAAGATCATTCCCCCTGGGAAAAAAAAAGGCACCAAAACAAAATTGAGTAATTTTTTTGTTTTTTTTTCTCTATAGACTATTAGCATAATTGCATCCACCCTGAGAAGTGGTCCTATCCCTTCTTCTACCTACTTTTCCCCCAATTTTTCCCAAAGTGGCTAAACATTAATTTTAAGTACTATATAAATATGAGCTGTTGTTATAAGCCCACCCCCATCTACTTCATAATGAATTTTTCCTCTAATAGTGTTAGAAGTTATAGTTATAAGCCTGGACCATAAGAGGAAGAAAATAATTGAGATATAGACATATATCCTCATTTGAGTGAGTACTGAGAAGTCATTTTCAAATTAATGTAAATTTATTGTTGAAATTACAGTGTATCATTAATAACAGTGCATTTAAAATTTTTCTAATTCTCATTCTCCATACAATAACATAATAGTTAAGGACAATTAGGTGTTTAAATAAAGGAATTGGAAAAATGGTGAACATTTGGATATTTTTCCCAACCCTAGACAACGATTCTATCTTCTGTACGGGAGGTGGATAACTTACCATTATTTTCAAGTAGATAAGAATGAAAAAGACAAATCTGTAAAATGAAGATCTGCCATCAAAAAGATTCATATAAATTAACTAGAAAGTGTTGTAAAAGACCAGAGAAAGTCATGGACTCAGTGTAAAACAGGAAATTAAAAAAAAATCCTCTTCATCAGAAATGTTTTGTGAACTGAAGTCAATGGTCAATGGTGGATGGAGCGCAATGTGTTTAAGTCATGGCCCAAATTTTACTGCTGGGTTAAATTGTAGGCACCAGTGTGTTTCTATCCTGAGAGCAAACACAGTAGAATCACTATGTGCCTTCTTTAATAAGGAGAGTAAAGTGCATACAGTAGGGAATAACAAAGAATAGAAACAAAGTTCATGAAGTTAAAGGGGAGGAAATCAGGAACTTGGGGAATGAAAAGATTTCTCTCACTAATTCATGCTCATGGTTTGTTTTCTCCCTTTCCTTTTGACTTAAACATAGATTATCACATCAGCAATAATAGGTGTAAGCAGTAGGAATAAACCGTTTTATTTAAGATGTTCTTTCTTGTTCCCAAGGCTCAGTATGGTTCCTGGCAGTTAAGAAACGCTTCCAGAATTGAATTGAATTGAATTGAAATAATGAATTACTTAGTTATGCTGGTCTTGGTGGTTCAAAGGAAAAAATGCTGTGAATGAAATTCAAAACAAGTTCCCTTTCTCCTCCAAATCTCTTTTTTTGAAACCTTTAGATGATTTTGCAGGTCCTTGTAACATGCAACACATATCTGTTCTTCATAAAATGTTTTGGGGTGAAATGTTTCTTTTGCATATACAGCACCCCTTTATGTCCATCTGGATTTTTTTTACAATCTATACTCAATTTTTTAGAAAAAGAAGTATGCTTTTGATGAGGCTTTGCCTAATGAATGGACTTTGTCCTATCATGTGCCCTGATTGTGGTTGAAAATGTGGAATGTACTTTTTTAACTATGATTATTATACTCATATATTTATGTAGAAGGATCCAAATGGTTTAAATATCAGGGGAGATATGAATGTTATTTTATTCATCATTGCCTGTTCAATGCTACTTTGATAGTTTCCTGGATTAGTGAATTCTAAAGCAGAGTCCATGTAAGCTCCTTGAAGGCAGGTACTGCTCACATTTTGTCTTTGCAATTCCAATGCCTGTGACATTGGAGATGCTTAAATATGTTTGCTGGATTGAATTGAATATTATCCATAAGGGAATTCCTTTCACCAGAACAGATGCTTGCCTATCCTCTTCAATCCTTGACTCTGTCCTCCAATAAATGCACTCAAGGGGTCCACCCAACATATTGGTGGTCTTCCTCAAGACTGCTCGAAATTCCCTGAGTAGCCATGACTCACGCTGGCTGTCCATTAGTCAACACTCATTCTCTCTCGGTGACCGGTCCATCTTTCTTTTTGGTCATGTAATCCTCTGAGGACATACTTTACTTTGTCACGTGGAAGTGACCGTCAGTGTTATCTTTGGTGTGAAATCATCTGACTCTAGTGTATTTGCTCACAATTTCCTAAAACCAGGATCCTGCGCAACTGGCAGTTGGATGATTTGGAACTTCTCTTAATTCCTCTTGTTCCCTTGTCTCATTATCTCATTGGCTACTTCGGAGATAGGCTGACAGGGACAGTCTAGTCCAAGAGCCTTGGTCTGAGAATCTACAACTTAGCTGTGACAGTAATTGACAAAGATTAACTCGCCTGTTCTCTTGGGTTCTACCGTGCTCTGGAGTGGCGTTTCCATCCCAAAGGTTCATGTGGACTATTTGTACCTGACTTGTGATAGAGCATTCTGGGCTCATATTGGTCTGGTCGGCCACAGTTGGACATACTGTAACTTGCCTCCAGCATAGTGCTGTCATGTTGGTCCTCTTTGGGAACAAAGGACGACAACCATAACAACACTCTGATTAGGTGTTGGCAGGGGTGGGGGGGGGTCCAACCATTTGTAGTAGGTAGGAGAGTCTGCTATGACTGTTCCAATGAAAACCTTTCTTATTGTTGTGTAGATGAGGACTACTTCTTTACTCAGCACTGACCCCAAGTTGAACTGGTTTCTCTATAAAGACACAATATATTTGTAACATCCAATGAATTTGTGTTCACCTTTTTATGTTGGTGGATTAGCAATGAGTAACATTAAAATTCCCTAAAGGTGTTTTGTGAAAAACAGTCATTTCAATCTGATAGCACTTTCTCAGTTATCAGGCAAAATTGGGAGTGGAGGGATGAAACATTTACCTAGATTTTCACAAAAAGAATTATAATCTGCCAGATGAAACAACATTCAGCAGTTTTCAGATTTTTCTTTCATTATAGCAAAAACTTCATTCTTATTACAGAAAAGATAAGAGTAGAATAAAGAGGGCAAACTATATTTCCATGATGAGAGTATGTTTTTTGGCTCCAATTATGTGCTCAGTTTAATGGGGAAATAATCAGAACAAAGAACATGCTCTTTGCTACAGAATACGACTTCTCTAATTCATTTGTGTAACTAGTGAAATGGGCTGGATATAAATAAGTGAGGTGCAGGGAGTTGAGGTGCAAGAAGTGACTGAACACGGTTCTCCAAAGTTAATGTGTTTCTGGATCATTCGTGTTCAGGTGATTTTATTCTATTGTTTGTTTATGATTTATTTAGAGCTGTGTGGCTCATTTGTCCACACCATGTGCTAAATTTGAAATCGTGAATTTAGAATCATTGTTGCCTATTTGACCCTTCACCTACCGGTAAGCCTGTTGGGAGATTGAAGATTTATGTTACACTTGATGTCGGTTTCCCATTGTTCTATTCTAAATCACCCATTTCCTTGTTTAGGAGGAGCATAAAAAAGAAAATGCAGCATATCTTGGTAAAATATAGGTGGTAATGCTAACCAGAGTGTGCTATCTAGTATAATGCTTAGGGAGTAAGGGAAGTAAAAATATAATGTAGGAGATAACTGAAAATGAAAGAAGGAAAATAGAGGCATTTCTTAATCAACATTCAGAATAGATTACAGAAGAGCCCCTGTCTGTTATCACAGTCATAAAATCTACAAGTTCAACTTTCATAAAAAAATTTTTGAGGCTTTATAGACATCAGTTGTATAAACTGGTTACCAATATAAATCATCCAATACAAATTTTCCCTTCTTTTTTGGGCGGTACGTATGCTAAAAATGCAGCAAGGTGTTAGATATGTAGCATATTTCATGGCAAGTCAACAAAATGTAGGTGATTATTTAGTATGTTATTTGCTGTTTATTAAAACAATAAATCGTTATCAAACAAAACTGCTAAGTGTTTAATGATATATTTCTTTTTTTTTTTTAGTCAAATTTTTTTGAGTTCCTTTTAAAAAGAATTGCTGGGAAGAACAACGACTTGGTACAAATCCCAGTGCAAATCCTTCCTCCTTGTGTAAAGCAGCTTGTCCAAAGTCACAACTCCTGTGCACAGTACAAATCCCAATATGTTGTTGTCTTGGTGACAATAAAAAGCCTTGTTTATTACAAACTCAAGTAGAAATGAAAATAAAATCTAAAAAGTGGTCACAGTTTTGTCATTGGTATGTGGAGGTTGTTCCAAGGACCCATCCAGAGCTCCTCATCATCGGACTGTGTGTGGTCACTTGGGAAATCCAAGACCCCCTTCATGTCTTGACTGTCAATCCTGGACTCCTGTTCTGCTGTGCTTTTGATCTTGCCACCCCCAAGTTTTCCTGCAGAACCATCTGCCCCCATTGGGCCAGGGGCAAAGGAAACAAGAGGAGGCCTAGTGTTCAGTTTCTCACTGGAAAATGCCCCCTTGGATAATGTGTTCAGTGGGACACTCTCCTCATGTGTCACCGCTAACTTGTCAAGCTTCTTAAAATGCTTCCCCATCTTGACAGGGGAAGGGACTTTCAAATTATTAGTGAGGCAAGCCCGGCGGGTCCTCACCACTGACCCATTCTGAGCAATGTAGATGTTGCCATTGATATTGTTGTGAACTTGGGGATTGTGGAGGCAGGTCCTCTGGCACTCAGGGGCACTGTCTTCTCCAGTAGAACTGGTTTCATATTCTCGATCAACAGCTAACTGGATCATTTTTTTCCTGGCCCACTATAGGAAATAAAGAGAAAAGTGAATCAGCTAGCATCAACATTATCAAAGGCCAAGCCTTTAGTGCTTGGGCAATCCAGAAATCGAGCCATTTAAGAAAGGATGGAGTATATTTTGAGAGGGGTGTGTGTGTGTGTGTGTGTGTGTGTGTGTGTGTGTGTGACCATGTTACTTTCACTGTCTCTCTTTTGCCACTGGAATAAAACACATGTTTAGCCTTTTGCAGCTTGGTAACATAATTTTTCCAAAGATGATTCTCCAAACTGTCTGCTTTTCCCAGAACTTTGTTGCTTTGTCCAGAATGTTTCTCATCTCCATCTGCCATGTTTACAATGTATCCCTCTGTCTCTTAGATTCCCTATCCACTTCCAAGTCTCATTTCAAAGACAACACCCCATGGAAATCCTTCCCTGACTCTCTCGTTATTAATACTTACCCTGCTCAAGTTATCATGTCCATATATGGGAAGAGAATGCTAAGTGTTCTCATTATTGTAGTTTTAGACCTCGACACTGTCAAGACTGCAAAGGGCTATGAGTCTGGCTCATGCAGATGCATACATGCCCTACCAGTTGTTGGAAACTAACTGCAATATTTATAATTTTTATGGGGATCTGGGAAGAGGGTTTTGGAAGGAAGTGAATTACTAGAACTGTACCCACACTTGCTGACTGGGACGTTCAGAGAAGAACCTGTTATGGCACCTATCAGGGTACATGTGGAAGGCCTCTTCCTTGGTAGCTGCTCCAATGAAGGATACCTAAATTAAACAAAAAAATGCCACCTATCTGGTGAATATTCTGACAATTCTTACATGCATGCATGTTGTAACCCTTCAAGAGAATGTAAGTTCCTTGAAGGCAGAGACTTTTATGTTTCGTCTTTTTATTCCAGGGCCTCACTCATTGATAATTATATTGATAATAATTTATAATAAATGCTTGTCACATTGGATTGCCTAGTACTAGTTCGAGGGACTCATATGTGTGCTGTATTTCTTTTCCGACACTTTTATTTGAATGGAGGCAAATGTTGGGACATGATTTGCTGGTGTCAGTAAGGAGATGTCCAGACTGAAGGCAGAAATTTATAGAACGAATTTTTTGGAGCTGCCTAATCGCAGCTCTGGTGAGCTAGGTTATCTGCTTGTATGCTATAGGCCCCAGGGATCTGGCACAGGATTTAACTGTTGCAGCTGCCAGAAGTTATTTAATAAAGTCAGTTGAAAAGAAGGTCAGGGCTCTAGTCTCTTCCATTCACACTGAGGATGACACTGGATATTTATTTTTCTGTTTCTTTCAGGCTAAGCCAACTACCACATTTAAAGTTTTTGACTCAGTTGCTATAATCAGCAAAAATAAATTGGATAACTTGGCACATTAAAAAAAAATGATATGTCATGGTATTTTATTTTCTCATGATTACAGCGTCCTCACTCTCCAACTCTTAGCAACTCTTCTTCAAAATTCATTTAAACTACCCCTCCTTCCTCCATGAATGTGTTCCTGATTCTCCCAGCTGTTAGCTCTTCCTCAAATGACTCCATTATACATATATATATATATATATATATATATATATATATATATATATATATATATTATAATATCTTATTATATGCATACATGTTGTTTTCCTCTGATAGAATTGTAAGATTGCAAGGGCAATTTGGTTTTAGTTTTTGTATTCTCGGAGAATAACAGTAACTGGCATGCAGTTGGTGCTTAATAAATACAGCTGGGGCACTGGGCCTGGATTCAGGATGACCTGAGTTCAAATGCAATCTCACTTACCAGCTGTGTAATGCTAGTCAAGTTACTCAAGTCTCTTTTTGCCCGGTCTCTTTAATTGTAAAATTAGGGATAATAATAGTACTCCTTCCAGGTCTGTTGTGAGGATCAAATGAGATAATATTTGTAAGTGATTAGCATAATGCCCGACACACAGTAGTTGTTTAATAAATGCTGGCTGTCGTTGTTGATTGGTTTATTGGCACAATTGTGAACTTAAAAAATCCTAACCAATTCCTTTCCTCTCACTCCATAACCTGAAATGATTAAACAGCAAAATAGACAAAAGGAAGACCCCTTCCCCTTTCCTAAGGGAAGACCATCAGTATCCTCTGCAAGCAATTGAATTGTGATGGGCACTGGTACCTGACCCTTGGCATAGTGGTGAGAGGCCGGCCTCAAGGTCAAGAAGGACTGCCTTCAAGGACAGCCTCGAACACATAATAGGACTGTGACCCTGGGGCAAATCACTTAATGTCTTAGCACTCTGGGACACTCTCTAAGACTAGAAGTTACAGAGAAGGTGCTGACCTTCATTGGTACAGGGGATTTACCTGGAGTTTCCCTCTGCCCACGAGATCACAAGTTCAGTCCTTTCTGTGTGAGGCCACACTTGGAAAGGGCAGGTGAGAAGGGGTCCAGTGTCATGGAACCCATTAGAAAAAGGAAAACAATTGAATGGCATTTTCAGAAACCAAGAATTCTCCAGCTTACTCTGAAGTTGGCCATACTTAGAATCCAAAGTACTGGTGCCTGGAGTCCTTTTCAGGGATCACAAATTATTCCTGGTACCACTTAGTAATGGAATTAGGCCTGATGTCAGGGAGTGGCAATCTCCTCCAACTTTGTACCCACGGCACTTGGGTACTGAATTTATTCATGCAAAAAATTGACTCCCAATATTTGCCACTGTCGATAATTTCTGAAATTGCCCTGGAATTTTTTAGACAATTCAATTGCTTTTGGAACTGGAAACCCAGAGTTCTCTCCTAGATCCCATTGAGCAAATACGTGTTCATTGGAAATATCAATCTTGTGAAAATAATAGACAACCATAGTATATTCTCTATTCCTAATATCATGCACTAGAATGACCTAGGTGAGATTGTGGCTACCGAAAGATTTCTGCTATCAAGTCCAATACGTCGGGCATCAGTGATAAATGTGTAATGATGTATTGCGTTTAAGTAGGTTTCCCATTGGCAAATTATGACCACTCGTGAGATTATTATTACTAAATCAAGGTCACTTATGAGATCTGTTTTGGTTTACTAATTAACTGTGACTCCCCATCACACACAATGATCAGTTTGGTTTTTGGAGTCTTTCTATTCTTACAAGTGATCAGTATCACCGCCACTGTCTGTCCTTCAGGAGTCATTGCTGAGGGCACGCAGGGCACACAGGGCACACAGCACACAAAGTCACACGTCACTGCAAACTCCACCTACTGTTCTGGTTTACAACGCTGTATTGTAACCTTCAGCTTCTTTGCCTTTTGCTGGGGGGCCCTCTGACCCCTCTGCTCCCTCTGCTCCCTCTGCTCCTGCTGCTTGGGGCCTCTGCATCCTGGGTTTCCCTGGGGGATTGGGCCGGACGTAGCCTTCAGCCCCCATCTGGCTTTCCCTACTACTCTCGCTACCAGTGGATTCCGACTCTTCGGAGCTGGCTTTGCTTCCTTCTGTCGATCTCTTACTGCCTTCGTCAGCAGCTTTCTCCTGGGCTTGCACATCTGTAACGTCTTCGGGAGCAGCCAGTTCAGCTTCTTCTTCTTCTTCTTCCGTAGGTGCTGCCTCTTCCACCTTCTGCTCTTCTTCAGACTCTTCTTCCGACGACTCCTTTCTGCGTTTCTTGGGCGCCTTGAGCAGTTCTTCAGGAGGAACGATCCTCCGGCCAACCACGATATTCTTCCTTGCCTTTTCTCCTTCTGATTCTGTAGATTCGGACTCTCCTGACTCAGGGGTGGAGCTCTCCTCCGCTTCTGAGGGGGTCTCTGACTCCGACTCCTCTTCCGAAGTTGTGCTCTCATAAGTGCTCCACTCGGATTCATCACTGTAGTCACTGTACTGGCTAGATTCCTCACTGGACTCCTCTGATTCCACGGTACTCTCAGTGGCTTCCTCCTCCAGTGTCAGCGTCAGGTAATCTCTGTCTTCTACTCCGAGAGCCCTCCGGCGTTCTTCATCTTCTGCCAGCTCACGGACTTTCTTAAATATCATGGGGAATATCTTAGCTTTCTTCCACGTGACACGGGCAGTCTCAGCTGCCGTTGGTCCCTCAATGATCACAGGGACCTCCAGCTGTGCCTCCATGGGAGGCTCTCTAACTTCTGGTATTTTAGGTTTCTTTGGCCTTTCCTGAAAATTATGAAAATGGGATTTGTGATTGGGTTGATGGTTAAGATAAGAACTTGTCCCACACAAGTTAAGGAGGAAAAGATCCAAGCGGTGATGTGTTCACCCAAGAACCTGTTTCTAGAGAAGGAAAGTCAAATAAGATTATATCTTGCCCTGTGCTGAGTTTAAAGCAGTCTTTAATCTGTGTGATGGAATATTTGGGCCGTTTGAGGAAGCCTATGGATACCCTTTCAGAATAATAATGGAAACAAACGCTAAATTATACTTAGAAGTTAATGGGGAAAAAAAGAAGTGTTTCTCCCCAACTGACTTCATGGACCCCTTGAATTCTATTCCTGGACTCTAAGTTTAGAAACCCTGCTTCAGAGAGTGGTTAGGAAAGTAGGTGCTCCTGGTTGGTAACACAGATCCCTGCATTAACCTCCGTGGGTCTCACTTTCCTCATTTGTGGAAATGAGGAAGCAGTATTAGATGACCTGTGGGGTCTCTTACCAGCTTTGGAGTTATGATACTAAGAAATTCAAAAGAGGGAATACAATCATAATTGCTTCTCAGAATATTTGTTCTTCAGTTCGGATCTGACTGAAATTATAGAAATTTTAAATTATCACCCTAAACAATAACAACAACAACGACAGTAACAACTGGATGAGTTAAGGTTCTTGGAATAACTAAATAACGTGATCTGTCTGCATTAGACAGGACTAGATTTATTCAGCAAACTGTGATCAAATCTGTGAGATTCTAATCATCTCAGAAGTATCACAGTATCAGCTAGAAATCAAACTAAATGATATTAGAGGATAATTATTTAGCGATTGTAAAATAAGCCCTTCAAGGACAATCATTGCCTTGGCTTTGTCTTTACTGTTCTCAGTGCCCAGCATGGTGCCTGGATCTTAGTAGCAGGTTAAAAATATTTGTCATATTCGTTGGTCAGCTAATAACCATGTAGTAGATTCATGTGCCAGGCACCATGCCAACTGCTAGGGAGACAAAGAAAGGCAAAAGACAGTCTTTGCCCTCAAAGAGCTCATAGTCTATTTGATGAAGAATCATTTAAATTTTGCATAACACAGCCAAGTATTACAGTTTCTTTGGGCATAAAAAATTAAGATATTCCTTTAACAAAAAAAGGTAGGAGGACATACTAGATACATAATAGACAAAAACTGAGCCAGGAAAGCCTAGTTCCACATTCTGCCTTTGATTCATACTGGCTTTTTGATCCTGGCCAAGTCATTTGACTTCTCAGCAGGCCACTCTGTGAGATAGTAAGCTGAGGAGAAGGTGCTGATCTGCTTTGCTAGAACTTTCCTTATCTGGGAATTCCTTTGTACTAATGATATCTCTGGTTCAGTCCCTATCCTGATTCCATTAATGCAGGATCTTAGGAAGAAGGAAACCTAGCTGAGAATAGCATCTGACTACGGGAACACAACAAGATCTCCTGAGGTCAAAGAGGATGAAAAGGCATGCTCTTGTCCTGCAAGATTCAGCCCCCCAAAAGCAAAGGCAGTAGGCCTACCTCCTCCTCTGGGTAATACTCTTCCTCAGCTTCTCCCGCCACTTCGCCATACTCCTCACCAGCAGGTGGCAGCAGCCGCCGCCGACTTCCGTACTGGGGCATTTCATACCTGTAATAGAAATCTACAACTTTAAGCATCTTTTGCATCTTCTTGATCTGGCATCACTGATATCTGCATTCCTTCTGCTTTCCAAACTCTCAAAGGCCAGCACATGCTGGTATGGGAGTGTTCAGGGATGATTACACAGATGGTCAGTTTCAAAACTTTATTTTGGGGAAAACTGGAAGGACGAGAGAACTTCCAATGAGCCCAAATGCTGCCCACAGATTAGGCTTTTTTGAAAGCTCAATGGACTCGTGCTTACCATCCCACAGTTTCCATTTGCACTGATGCTTGTACTCGTGGGGTGATATGGCTCTGTTTTGAGAAGTGACTTACCAGAGAATGGTGAATTGGGGAAGGTAGGAACAGCTGTTTTTTAAAATACTTTCCATTCATTTCTAGAATACATTTCCTACTTTGTATAATTCTTATTTATTAATTTTCTGTTTGTGTTGTATAGTTACGTGTTTCCTTTTTCCATCAGAATGTATATTCTTTAAGAGCAAGAGTTTTCTTCTTTTATCTCAGGGTCTATCACTGTGCTTGGCATAGAGCAGGCACTTAAAGTACTTGCTGATTGATGATTAACTCTGATTACGTATTAAATATCTCACACAAAAGATAAGTGGTGAATTCAGGAATTAAATAAAAATGTGTGATGTCTATTCCCCTCTTCTAATCATTTGTTCTTATTTCTTTTTCCAAGTACTAGAGAATAACTGATTAGAAAAATTGAAAAGACTTTTAGATATAGGAAGTCATCCTCAAAGAAGGATTTGGTGATATGACATTTTTCATGGTGGATACAAATGGTTACCATCATGTAGCTTCCTTAACTTAAGCATGAAAAAAGGAGTTTGCACAAAAAAAAATTCTGTATCTAGGTACAGACTATAAAAATCTGATTTACACTCGGCCAGAATCAATTCCTGATACCATTCCAGATAATTCTGCTATTCAAATAGAGAACTCACACACACACACACACACACACACACACACACTATATATGTATGTGTGTGTGTGTGTGTGTGTATGTATGTATATATTAAAATAAAAACAATTCTTCAATCACATTTCTGGGAAAGGTACCATTTACGTGGATAGAAACTGTTGATGTTTCTTAAAACACTGTTGCAAAAACTCTGCTGGTTTTCAAGCACAATTAAAAATACATACATTACATTCTGTTCAACAAAAATTCTTCATATAAAGTAAATTAGGATTAATTGAGACTTCTAACAAAAATAAAGAATCTTCTTTGGGAAGACAACACAAATTTCTCACCATGTCCCATTCCTAATCTTTTGATTATTGATCTAAAGGACAAAAATTAATTTTCTTTGGTGAATGTTTATTATTTAACTATATTCTTCATGTAAATACCTATCCTAAGAATGAGCCCAAGGCAAAATGTTATATCAGATAAAGTTAAAATCATACTCTGTTTTTATCAATCAGCCTCATGGGACTTATCCTTTCTCTTTCCTTTTCTGATGCTGCTGCAACAGCAAATCTAAGGCAAATGATCTGGTATCAACTATTCACACATCAAGGTGAATTTTAGTGTTCCTTCTAATGTTATCTCTGCTAAATGCTCTTCACATTATGTTCTGTATTTTAAGCCTTACTGCTAATTATGAACTAAATAAATGCTTCTTTCTCTTGTTAAAGGGGTTTTAATGTTCAATGAGAAAAAGGGGAGGGAAGAAAAGACATAAATCATGGATCCGTGGCAGTTCTTAGGTTTCTCAAAATATTCCATGTAGGAAGCTTCCTGTTGTATGTATGTAGAAAGTTGGTCTTTGTCCTAATACATTTCTTTCTTGCCAGAAATATTTAAAAACTTGAAACTTTCTTGAGACTAGCACCTACTCATCTTCCGATGTTACTTCTTCTTTCCTTTGAATTTTCCTTCAAAGTGAGGAGTAGAGGGTGTTAAACATGGTGTTAAAGGTTAAATGAATAATTAGGCAGTGTTTGCATCTTTTAGCTATGGAGCAAGATAAAGGAGGAGTTCAGGTATGGGAGGCAGGGAGAGGTACCAGCTCGAAGTTCTTCCAGCTAAGGGAATTCTTCTGTCTCTGAGACAAGGGATTCACCAGGTGGTGTTAATTCAGTTAATTTATTTATGAATTAGTCAAGTAAACAACTCTCTTTGCCACAAATCAATCCCAGACTTGAGATTCTATAGATATTTCCCAGTTTAGCAGTGATAAGAAGTGGGAAACATTTTCTGCTAAACATGGGATGATGAAGAGAGTTGGACACAGTGTTGTGACCTAGTTTTAAGACTTTGAGTCGGAAGGATTTCGAGGAATGCCAAGGCTGAAGATTTTTGCTCTCTCCTCCCCCAGTGCTTTACAGCAGAAAACTCCCTCCCAGATCCTCCACTAAAGCCTTTCTCTGATTCTTCATCATGGAATGGAGTTATCTTTGGGTTCTCAAAGGCTTTGCTGCTGTAGGGGTCTACCAACTGGAAATTTATTCATTTTCCCATTCAACTCTGAGTCTTGACAACAGGGACTGTTTTTGCAGTTTTCACTGTGTTCCCACTGCTTAGTGCATATAGCGGGTGATTAAAAAAGGTTTGTTTTTATTGATGGAAAGTTGGAACTAGGGATATTGCTGTCTTCTACTTCACTGTACCCATATCTTAACACCAATTGCCTTCTGTTCTTTAAGAGCTTAATATTTATAGATTGATTGATTACTATTGCTATCACTGCTTCAGGAAAGGGTATGCCAATTATTATATTTATGGATCAACTCACCATCTCTGGCCACCACTCCTTCATGTAGGTGTATAGTGCCCCCCCATTCCTTTTTATTTCTGTATTTCTGTCTGTCTCTCTCTCTTCCTCTCTCTTGTGCCAATGATTTTCATTGATTCCTATAATCATCAGAAGGCTGGATTCAGGGCAATTTTTGTTTTGTTTTATTTGCCATACAAACTCTGAATGATGACATGCTAGGCCACAGAACAGTTATGTCATCTGCATCCATGGAATGGGTACCCACACTGGCAAATATTAGAAATTCTTGAAGCATTGAATTATTCCCAAGAAGCCATCAGAACTCATTATTAATGCCTTTATTTTCCATGGAAAGGCAGGTATTGAAAATGAAATAATTCCCTTAGCATCGTTTGATATAAAGTTATGAAACCAGGAAATGTTATCTATAGAGACCTGGCTGTACTTATGGTAACTGGTCTTTGAGTCATACGAACTTTCTTCTGACAGTGTCCTGGTTCTTGAAGAGGTGAAGACAATATATGTCCAATCTATTTCTCAGAGAGCATACTTTTTAAAACCCCAGACGTCCTAGAAATGTGAGTGATAGCATGATGTATTTTTAAAATCAATAAATATTAAATTTAGAGTCTAAAGGCCTGGGTTTGCATCCTTAATCAAACACTTGCTGACTACATGACTTCATGAAAATCACTCACCCTCGCTGAGCTTCAGTTTTTTCATCTGAACTATGGGTGGGAATTATGATAAGTACTTTAATTTCTAGATGATTTCACTCACACAGCTGTTGTGAGGAAAATGAACTTTAAAGAGTTATAGAAATGTAAACAATGATGCAGTTGGAGTCAGGGAGCCTGGGCACCAAGTGCGGCATCTGATGCTGGCTAGTAAGGTCACCATGGCAAGCCTCTTAATGTCTGTAAGATTAAGTTTCTTCTTTCAAATATAGACAATACCTGTGGTGCATACCTCTTAGGGCTACCATGAATTTCAAGTGAGAGAACTACATAGATTTTAGTTATTCTTCCCTCCAACAAAAGCCTTTAGGAAGCCTTATAGTACAAAGCAAAAATATTGGGTAAGAACTAGGAAAGGCCCCAGAGACCATCTGGTCCTACCCCTACATTTAAAGATGAGGAATCTGGGGCAGAGAGAGTTGAAGAGATTTGTTTAAAGTTACATAGGTTTTTAGTGTCAGATTCAGGATTTGAATCTAGGCCCTGTGACTTTAAAGTCAATGTTCTTCTCATCTACAGTGATATCTCTTCTGCCTAGCTAACTGCATAATTGCAATGACTGACTAAAGAAAACCATGTCCTTACACCTCCAGACCCCACAGGACTGAATACATGGGCCAATGAAATGGAATGTTCTCATCAGTGAAAGAATTCAATTCAGCCAACTTGTCACTAAAGACAAAAGAAAGTATCCAAGAAAGATATATGCCAGGACTAGATCACAAGGTCTGAGGTCCTCCCTGTTAGTTTTAGGGGTTTTTTTTTTTTGGGTGAGGGGAGAGCATGGTGGGATGGTGACTGTGCCTCATTTATATTTGTTTTCTTGAAGCTCTGAGCCTAGGATCCTCTACAGTCACTATGGAATAAATGAGCTGAATGAATGGTCTGACTGAAAAGGAAAGTGAAGAAAAGAGGTTTTTCATGGAAAACCATCCCATTGACCTGATCTGACCCAGTCACTCAGATCTCCTTGCTTTAGGGTGGGCAATATAATAGGGTGAGAGCCATGCTGGTTTGGGAGTTGGAGTACTCTTTGTTTCATTTGTCTTTTGTGCCCCTAGTGCCTAGCACAGAGCCTGGGACATAGCATGCACTTAATGAATGCTTGCCAATTGATTAACTTGGGTTTGAATCCCAGGTCTATAAAGTGCAAACTGTGTGACCTCGAGCAAATCACTTCCATGTTCTGGGTCCTCAGTTTCTTCATTTGTACAATAAAGGAATTATCTGAGCAAAAAGCAACAGATCTGAACAGATCTAAATCTCTAATCTGATGATGTTTCCAGGCCTAGCCCTCAGTGAAACTGAAGGAGCCAATGAGTTTTCTGGCCTTAAAGTTCTCCTTTCCCCTTCTAGCCCACATCTTCATGCTTCCTTTACACTCTGCCCTTTTATGAATTTCTTAGGTAGAACTCTGATGTCTTCCAGCGGTACCAAGGTTGAAAAAAAGACAGAACAGAATTTAATTCAAAGGGAGAGAGGTGGTTTGATTTTGGAATTGAGCTGGCAGCAA